CAGAGAAATGATTAAAAGTTACGGAGTAATTAATATAACATTATTAGACAATAATTATAACTTAACTAAGAAGGTTAAGACACGTATAAGCCGTAACATACATAGATCGTGACCTTAAGTTGATCATACTAACGTTAATGTGTGCAAGGTGATTCGGTAAATTTTTCTTACAGATTTTTATTTGTTACATGGTTTATTTTATTTTAAATTGAGATCATCCCAAAATATTTTGAAACAAATCGAAAGGTATAAATTTTTCTATAAATTTATACCGTACCAATTTTCCATAGTTATGATTCTTTTACATTAATTACGTGACAGGACATTGATGTATCGCAAAGCAAATTATGTTTGTAATGTTTTAAAAATTAAAGTTTAAAAAGATGAAATCAACATATAGATTTATTATTATTTTTTAAAAAAAAAATCATTTTTATTATTTTTTATTGAAAGTATAAAATACAATATATTAAAATATGCAGTATGCATTCTTTATCTTCAATTATCAAACAATTGATCTATCACCTATATCTAATAAATGAGGTCTAAATAGGCAGAAAAATATGCACTTCTGACAGCAGCTACTTCTACAAGGTTGAAAATAAAAAAGTAAAATTTCGTTTCAATAATACCATTGCAAGCAAACGGAACGGAATATATACAAGATATTTTGACGATGTTGTATCCACAACAGAAGGTAAGATGAGGTGAAGATTTTATCAGCCTCATTTATATATCAGAATAGCAATACTCATTGAATTAGAGACGTGGTCAGTCAACAGTCAGTTATAATATCGCTTGATGGATAATTCTAGCATGTCATTTTTATACTTGTGTATAATATAATATTTATTATTTTTTGATTTACTTCATTAAGTATGTTTATTAGTTTATTAAGTATATTTTAGTAGCATAGCATTATTTTGAGTTTTTTTCAAATTTTCAATATTTTAATTTATATATATAATTAAAAGAAAATATTATTTAAATATTAGTTATATTGTTAATTTTAATACAAAGATTTCTTTACTAATTAAATAGGGGTTTACAACCAATCAAATCTTACATCATTCGGTCAACAGTAGGAATTGGAATCGATATTAAAATCGATTTGAGAATCGATTTGATCGCGATTACCGTTTCTCAAGATTTGACTCGAAGTAATCGATCGATCCATTGAGTTAGGCTTGAATGACCCTAAATAAATTAAATCCGAAAATAATTAAATTAAAAAAAATTAGGTATGCAAATTAAATATTATTAAATATATAATTAAATATTAGAACCCGCGATTATTAAAAAAAAAAACTTTTAAAAAATAATAGAATGTATTAAAATCTCGGTGTAAATTTTTTTTTTTAATTGCGGGTTTTATCTTTTTAATTTTTAAAATTAATGTTTTATCTTTTAATTTAATTATTTTTTTTTTAAAAAAAAAAAAATTCACGAATTTTAAAAATTATTTAAATTTTTAGAGTCAATGTGTTGATTATTGTAACCATATTGCTTAATACCATATTAGCTAAAAAAAATTTAGTGTGATTTTATTAGTGTGAACCTGATTCTGGGCCTTTGAGCGACAAATAAGTTTCCTTTTTCTCAAAAAAATCTCCTTTTTAAGCAATTCGTGTAACGACAACGACCAGCCATTATTATATACCTTATTACCTAATAAATACTAAAACTAACACTAACACTAACATTAAAAGGTAGAGGATAAGGTATCTACCTCAAGGAATAAAGGTTGTTTATTATTTTTTTTAAAAAAAAAGATATGGATCTTGTCATGGCGGCACAGTCAGGTGCGTGATGAAATTTTCTTTTTATTATTGTTTCTATTGTTTATTACTAAAAATTCTACCCGACAATGCCCTGTGTTTCAGGACAATAAGTCTTCGGTATATTAAAAATCGCGATTATTATTATTAATAATCAATTAAAAATTTAAAAATAAATAAATAAAAAAAAGAATGGGGGAAGGGGGACGAATAATAAAAATATAATAAAATAAAATAAAAAATAAAAAATAAAAAACATGAAATAATTTTAAAAAAAAAGGAACGGGAAACGAATAAAAAAAAATTAAAAAAAAAAATAAAACGATCGGGGATAAAATAAAAAAATAATAAATAAAAAGAAGAATAAAAAAAAAAGAAAAAAAAAAGAAATCAAAAATTAATAAAAAAAAAGAACGAGGGAGGGGGAGGGGAGACGAATAAAGAAAAAATATTAAAAAAAAAATAAAATAATAAAATAAAATTAAAGATCTGGGTGGGGGAAAAAAATATAATAAAAAAAAAAATAAAAAAAAATGACAAACTATTCAAATGAAAGAATATTTATACATTATAATAGAACCAATTTCAAATGTTCCTACATTAAAAGAATTATATAGTAATAATTCCAAAATATAAAAATCAAATTTTGTACAATAGATAATACCTAGAAAAAGATCATTTAGTGGCGACAGAGTCGCCGCACCTCAACCTGATCTAGTTCTAATTAAAATTTTAATATATTTTCCTTACAATATAACTTCGTTAGTTTTTGATTGATTAGCGTTTAGTGATTAGCTTTAGTTTGCAACATCATAATTATTCAATTGCTTATTAATAAAAACCCTTCTGCTTACATTTTAAATATACACAATGGAATTGAATACAACAGCATTATATTTCAAAGTCACAGAATAAAATTTTTAATATAAACCTTTTTTTAGTATAGGTTAGATTATTTGTAATAAATTGTATTAAATTTTTTTTGTTATAGATATATAAAACTTTGTAAATTAAGTTTTCAACATCTATTTCACGTGTTAACGAACCCCAAGTGATCGCCCGGGTAAAATTTATTTAGGACATGAATATTTGTCAAAAAATTTTAAAAATAGATGCGATTTTTGTACGATTATTAGAATCGATTCCAATCCTCAATGATCTGTGATAACTTTGACTATTAAAATCCCTACATTGAATGCATTTGGTCGCTCTGAGTCATCAATTATAAGCAAAGAGACTAGTGAAATAGGGAGAATTATTCTTTATACTGTAGGTTATAGTCCAAATGCGTCATTGTCCGAGATGATCAAAATAGGAATGCGCAATAGGATATCCCAAAAGCGATTGCCCCTGTGAAATTGTTCCATCAATTCTGTAACTAGTTGATTATTAAAATGAGATCCTCTATCTGATAAGATCTTAGTTGGACATCCATGTCGGCAAATAATATCTTCGTATAAGAACTTAACAACATTTTAGCAGTGGCATCCTTAACTGCTTTAGCTTCTGGCCATTTTGTTAAATAATCTATGGCAACAATAATGTATTTATTTCCTCTACTAGTACTTGGTAAAAGTCCAACGAAGTCTATTCCAATTCTATAAAATGGTGAATCAACTGGAATAGGATGTAATTCATTCTTTGTTTTAGGTCTTCCTCTCCGTTGGCAAGCATCACATTTTTGAACACCCCAAACCGAAATATAAAAATTGTCGATCATTTTGCAAATCGAAACACCAATTTTTTAATAAAGTTTTGCTTAGTAAATTTAATCGCCTATGTAAAAGATTGAACACAAAATCGTACGAAATTGTAGATTTTAATTGTTTAAAAGAATAGTTTGTATCTGTAGTTTCAGTTGCCTCTTGAATATTATTTTTTCTTTTTACACGTTAATTTACTAAACAAATTCATATTAGTTAATGCATGTACTGTAGCTTCTATATAATCAAACAAATTTTTGTCTTCTGTGTTTTTACATACTAATACAAAACTGTGTTCGACCTTAAAATTGGCAATAAATGAAGATCGCAAGCGCCATAATGCAATCATTTGTGTAATGAAATTTCTAAATAAAAGGCCGATATAATAAAATATCATAATAAATATTTTGTAAAAAAAAAATTATGAATATGCTGACTTCAACAATAAACAACCAATAGGAAGCGGTAATTTTGGAAAAGTTTCTCGTGCTAAATGGAAAGATAGTGATGCCATTTTTGCTTTGAAGTCTTTTGACAACTATAAGATAACCCTTAAAGAAATTGTCAAAGAGGTAATTAAACATCTAATGTTTTAAAACATCAGATTAAATTACCTGAAAATTAATCATAAATTTATGAATACATTGCAGAATAAATTACAAAAAAGTTGATTTTCATTCAAATATTTTACGATTTTTTGGAATTACAAAGATAGAATTCGGTAAGTGATAAAATAGGACTACATGGTAAAATTTAGCACGAATATTTATTTTATACAATTTTTTTTAGATGTAATTCATCAAACGAACCAATACTTACTAGTTTTAGAATATGCTGATGGTGATACATTAAATAATTATTTAAATCAGAATTTTGAGAAACTTGATCGGAATGACAAATGTCAGTTAGCATTCCAATTAACAAGTGCTATAGAATGTATGCATAATAATGATACTATACATCGTGATCTGGTAATGTGTGTTTTATTTATTTTGTTATTAATATGTATGTAATGAATGATTTATATTTAATCACGTAGTTGTTTTAAATTTCTTTAATCACAGCATGCAAATAATATACTTATGCATCAGAAAAGCATCAGGATAGCAGACTTTGGTTTATCTAGAAAAATTGCTGAAGCTTCAAGCAACGCAAGTAATTTTGGCGTAATACCTTATATGGACCCAAAAACTTTAGATAATCAAAAAAAGAGCTATGTAATTAATAAAAAATCTGACATTTATAGTATTGGAGTCTTGATGTGGCAAATTTCAAGTGGACATAAACCATTTAATAATATAGATTATGATGTAGGTTTATCCTTAAGTATCGTAGGTGGAAAAAGAGAGAAAATGATCGAAGTTACTCCTTTTGAATATTATGTCTTATATCAAAGTAAGTGATAGTAGATTCTATTTTTTGTTATTTATTGACTTATTTATTTACATTATTAGAGTGTTAGAAATATGAGCCAGAAAAGCGGCCAAATATAAAAGAGGTTGTCTCAATGCTTAAAAAAATGGCTTTTCATAATGTCGATCTTGAGGAAGAAAGCGATCCATTACTAAATAATGATTTCAGCTTTATAACTCTCATATCTGATGTATCAATTGAAATAAAAATAGATGATGATGATTTGATATTGGATGAATCATTCGATCAATATAAAGATATTAATTCTGAAAATAATTCAAGTTTGCTAAAACGAAAATCTATAATTAATTTATCAAATCCGTTTTTTAAAATTGCAAATTCATCAATTCATTAGAATTATTATATACTGTAATAATACAATTAATAATATAATTGATAAGTTAATCAGTTTTTAATTAAAAAACATAATGTAGGCATATTTTCATTTGATCAAATTGAAAATATTATTAAAAAGCCATTATTGCAATTAAATCAATCCGTAAATAATCTTATAACCTAGCTTATCAATAATCAAAATAAGCTGCAATATATGTGGTTCCTTGGATTTCTTTATTATCATCATATTGATATAGATGAAGTAGTAAAGAATTTGCATTATTTTTAAAAGCAGCAAATGATAACTATTCAATCGCGCAGTTTTATCTTGCTAAATGTTATTATGAAGGATATGGAATTGAAAAAAATCTTCAATTAACTTTTGAGTATTATCAAAAATCTGCAGAAAATAGAAGCATTATTGTATAACTCTATCTAGGATATTGTTTTGAATTTGGTATCGGAATACAACCAAATGAAGTAAAATCAATCTTTTGGTATAAGGAAGCAACTAATAATGGAAATATGGTCGCAAAATTCTACTTGGAAAATTGCTATAGGTTGGGATATGTAGTTAAAAAGGATGAAATTAAAGCTTTTGAATATTATAAACAATCAGCTAAGTAAGATTACTTAGATGCATAATTTCAACTTGAAAATTGCTATTTAAATGAAATTGGAACTCAAATTAATAATGAAATGGCATTTGAATTTTACAATTTAGCAGTTAAAAAAAAGCATGTAGTTGCCTAATATAATTTAACTATTTTGTTATTAACATGGAAAAGATATTAAAAAAGATGAAGTTAAGGCTTTTGAATTGTATAATATAGCAGTAAAACAAAATTATATAGAGCATAATATCAAAATACATAATGTTATGAATTTGGAATTGAAACTGAAATTAATAAAGAATAAGCATTTGAATTATATAATATAGCAGCAGAACAAAATTATATTGAAGCACAATGCTAACTTCATATCGTTATCATTATGGAATTAAAACTTAAAAAGATAAAGATAATACTTTGAATATTATAAAAAATCTGAAAAAGATAATGTTATTATATAATACAATTTTATACTTTTGGAATAGATATTAAAAAAGATGAGCTAAAGCTTAAATATTATCAAAATACAGCTAAAGAATATATTAAAGCACTTTATTGCTATTGTTATAAAATTGAATATTACAAATAGGATATATTCTAACTCAAAATTGTATTTGTTTATTATATTAAGTGTAGAAGAAATTAAAAAAATTTAAAAAAGCTTTGATCAAAATAGGCAGAAAATAAATGTAAATATTATTATTTAGGTATATTAATAAAGATTTATAAATAATCATCGCTTAAAATTTTTATATAAACATCAATTTTTGAATTTATAATAATTTGAATAAAAAATACTCTTTGTAATTTTATTGTGTGCATTTATCATAAACAATATAAAGTGTAAAATATTTTCATTATAATTTACAAAAAATAAAAAAAAATAATTTTTAAATTTTAATTTACTGAAGATTTTCTATAAATTTATTAAAATTTGTACTAAATTATTATATAAAATACCTCATTTATAATTTAAATTTTAAAAATAGAGAGAGAGAGAGAGAGAAAGAGAGAGAGAGAAGGCTTTATTATTTAGATCAAAATACAGAACCAATTAGAATTTCTATTGTTTTTTATTTTGTAATTATTAAAATAATCATGTAATAAATAATTTAACAAATAAATTACTCAAATTAACAAGCTCTCTAACTTTAAAGGAAAACCCTACATCATACTAACCAAATTTAATACAGTTATGAACCAAATGAATATAATCAATCAAAATTTCCAATCCAATGATTATCATAGAATGGTAATTGCTAGACTGTGCGTTAAAACTTGTGTTAAAATTCATTAAAGATTTATTGATTGCAATGAAAAAATGTATATACATAATGTTTTCTTATATGAAATACGTTGTGACGGGTAAAATTTTAGATAGATTTTAATTGGTAGAATATGAAGTCCATTTTATTGCCATGTAGATCTTTTATGAAGATCAATTTGTCCATTTTATTGCC